TAGCCTAGGCATAGGCCTAGGATAGGCCTATGCCTAGGGTAGGCATGGGCCTAGGATAGGCCTATGCCTGGGGTAGGCATGGGCCTAGGATAGGCCTATGCCTGGGGTAGGTATGGCCCTAGGATAGGCCTATGCCTAGGGTAGGCATGGGCCTAGGATAGGCCTATGCCTAGGCTAGGCCCCGGGAGTTCTAAGCCCGTTTTACTGGAGATAGAGATAGACTCAGGTCTTTTGATGAGTCGCTTGATGCACTGAACTCCTGCTGCCGATACTTTGAAGGACAATGGTATGTTCAGCGCATCCAAAGTGACAGAATTCGGTTCCATCATCATCAGGAAGAGGAGGCCAAATGGCCAGCACCTGTGAGGTCGTGATGCCTTTGGATCAAAGGCTTTATGATGTTCATCGATGACTTTATGCGCTTTACCCTTTGCATCAACAAAGTAGGGCGATAGTAGGACGTCTTGTTTCCTTGGAACTCGTCCATTTTTGTCCACCCGAAGGTGTGCACAGGTCACCAGAAGGGGCTTTGTCCATTAAACGTACAGCAGTACTGATGAAGCGCCAGAGCGGCCAATCCAATGAAGCGCCAGAGCACATCATATGCTGAGGTTCCGATGGAAGATTTCCGCTCAGAACTCTTTTTGGCGGTGCTGAAACCAGGTGGCCGCAGCATCTCAAATATATATATATATAATTATATATATATATGTCACAACAGTTTGTCAATCTATGTGTCACTTTGTTTGTTTGCTTCCATGCTTGTTTGGAGTAGTGTGTTCCTTACATGTTCCTATTTTAGTCGGGCAGTGGCCAATGAACGCCTGGCGCCAATGAACAGTTAAATTTGGGAATCCTTGTCAGGGATTCCTGCACATTAGCATCAAAGATTGCACTCTTTCTGCACCTACATTTTGAGTAGCAAGAAGCTACTACAGTAGTAACAAGGACATTGTTACTGGTAACAAAGGGCATCGCTACTAGGAGCAAGGACACTAAGAGTTGCTCCTGACATTACTACTAGGAACAAGAAGCTACTATTAACAAGGGGCATCGCTACTGTACTATATAGTAATAATTGCATTACTACGTTACTAGTAGCAAATAGCTACTAGTAACAAAGGGCAACATGAGCTCATGCCTCACGTGTCGCCCTGCTTGGTGCTGCACCAGGTGCTGTGACAGAGATGGTCGGGGCCCTGGAGTGGGTCATGTCATGACGGTCAACCCCAGCTAGCCTGGCTGGACACAGATTGGTTCCTCCCTGGAAGAACCATGGTTACGTGGAGGCAAGACAGGCTGTTTGGTATTCGGATTTCAATCAATTGGGGCCATGCCATCCATGGTCATACGATTCTTGATACGTGCTTGCTCGTCGGGGAGTCTAGGACATATCCGATACGTTCTTGAGATACTCTTGGGTGTCTGACTGTGTGACGCATCATGACTTGTTCCGAATAGGATGTGGAGTTCTTGAAACTTCTGATCGCACACTTCTCAGATGTGGAGGTCACCCCTTCAATTCTGGAGCCAAAAGTGGATTCAGAAAGAACATCAAGAATTCTGATTTCGGGCGGCGTGGTGTACAGCTCTTTGGATTTCCCAGTCCCCGACCTTTGGATGCCTTGGGACCGTCCAAGGATGCTGTGTTGGACACATGGGAAGGAGAGGCGAAGACCAGGCGAGGAGAGCAGTTGAATGATTCCAGTTGAGCTGAGCTGAACTTGCACCTTTACAGGACAGCCCTTGGTGTACCAGGATACCTTGCCTGCGGCCTCAAGTGAAAACAACTAGAGATTGCAAACGATGGCAAACGACCGCAAATGTACAGACTCCCAATTTGCAGCACAGAACAGCCCTCAAAAAAGCATTTTCGCACCGTTTTGTCTTTTCGTTCGGACAACGATGCACGAGGCTAGGAAGTTCCCATGGTTGGAGGCCAGTGAGGCCTGGGTTTTGCTCGGCGATGAGTCAGCGCTTTGGCTGCAGGCCCCATAAAAATCCATAAAATATGTGATACTATGGGTGTAGGCCCCTAAAAAACATAGAAATGAACACAAGAGTCATAATTTATAGGGGGTTCCCCATCCTGTAGATTGACAAGTTTCACGTGAAACAAACCTCAACAACCACTTCGAGAGGTGCGGCTTGCCCGGTTGGATTGGCGGCAAGCTTAGTCTAGTTTTGGGCGTTCGGTGAAGCTGGGTGAGTTGAGGTTGGTGTTGTTGAGAATTGAATGAAGGAAAAAGTTGACAAACATGATTGAATTGAATCAGTGAAGTGTTGTTTGTTCGAGCGTTGCTGGTGTAGTGAGTTGCACTCCAGTAGTTGTATGAAAGAAGCTTGACCTGACCACTGCAAGTTCTGACGTGATATTGCAGCCGATATCCCTGCAACACACCACCATTCAAAGTGGCCGGGCATTTCAGAAGTGGTCGTGTTCTGGATCTCGAAAGCGTCCACCAACGTTTGGTCATCAGCTATGGCAGTTGGCAGATAAAAAAGGTGAATGCTCGAGACATGTCGACAGGCTGATGTCCGCCAGAAAGGAATACCACCGATGTTTGTCATGAGAAAGTCGGCCGACCGATGTTTGTCACCCAGGTTGGACTGGGAGCGCTTGCCTCCACAAGCTCGGCTGTCCGCCTTGACCAAGCCGCAGCCGCGGATCCTCCAAGAAAAGGGGCGTTGAAGAAGAGGGGTCGGGTCGAAGCTGGGGGTCCAGGCGGAAAGATGTGTGTGTGAGAAACCTTTTGGAATCACAAGGTGCCTGTCAGCTTTTGCATGCTTTTTGTGTGTTTACTTTCAATGGTCTATTTTAACAGCAGGGGGCACAGGCCCCTCCGAAGCTATTCCACGATGGGGGAAGCGGATATTGATCACATCCGTGATCCGTGTATATACCTGCTGATGGTTTATGGTGTTAGTAGACTCTCTAATTGCCAGGCCTGCAGACATGCCACTTGATGTTTTGCATCTTGGACCATGGAGACTTTGGATTTGAAACTTTGGCCTTTGCATGACTGACGGCTTGACGCCGCTCCGCTTTATCCCTCTATCCCTGTCTATTCAGGCCTTTTGATATTCTTAGGCAGCTTCAGGGCAAGTGGCATTCAGACCGTACAAACTTTCATCTCGAGCGTGTGTATGTGAGAGAGAGAGAGAGTGTGCTTGTGTGTGTGTGAGTGTGTCACACTCTGTTTCCAAGAGTTTTGACACGCAGGGGGCCGGAGCCAGGTGGGGGGTCTCCGGCCAACGAAGACACCCCCCACCTGGGTGCAAACGTACCTGCGATCAACTGTTGTCAAAGCTGTTCTACTCTCTTTTTTGCTTTCATGGTGGTTTTCATGATAC